TAGCTTCTTGAAGGGCACCAATCGCAGATGATTGGAATCGAAGGTCCGATTTGAAATCTTGCGCGATTTCGCGAACAAGCCGCTGAAAAGGCAGTTTGCGTATAAGCAGATCTGTTGAGCGCTGCGCAATATGTCAAAACTATATTCACGAGAAGTTAGGAAAATAAGAGTACCTGATAGCGTCGGATCTCCCGGAGCGCAACGGTACCTGGCCTATATCGACGGGATCTTTTGACTGCGTGGTTTGTTAACTGAGGTAACCGTGCTGGACATCGACGCTTACCGCCTCCCACTTGAGGAAGTCTCTTTCCTGATATACGCTCAGCCTTCGCATGGAGGACCGTACGAGGTTGCTTGCCAGAAGGTCGTGCAACTGCACGTGGAACCTAAAAATGGATTAGGGAAACCGAGCAGGATGGAGGAGAGGGAAGACTGAGAAGTGACCTTTTGCTTGTGGCGTGCCATGTTGCTGTTTTACCGAGGCAACGAACCAAGATAATAAGAAGAAAAAAAGGGGTTCGGGAACGTCTAAGGGAGCGGGTGCTTTTATAGACCTGGTTCTGTAGTAGGGATCAACGCAGCCCCCAACCTAGGCTGCCGCACCTAGCTACAGAGCGATCCGTGGCGGGATAGGGCTCTTTCAGGGTCAATCATGGTCCCCAGTCACGTATGGTACTATGGCGCTCTTTCGACGTCTACTTGATTGGCTGGCTTGGTGGTTCAGCGACAATAAGTAGGACTCGGGAGTACTGGACGACGTGGTACAAGACGCCTTCGGTGTTCATCAACGTTTGTTTGATTCGCAAGCCAACATCCGGCAGGGGTCAAAGTTGCAGTAGCGGCAACCACCGTGTCGACTTCTCAACTTCGACTCTTCACCAACTACAACGGATTGGCGAGGTCCAAGCAAGGCAAGGGTGGGTGAAGTCGCTCAAATTGTTCGCGTCTAACCAGAACTATAGCCTATGCTATTCTACGGCCCCTCCAACCTTCAGCGGAGCCGTATCTATGGGAGATGTCAGTCATATGGCGAGACCAATCGAGATCTTGCTGACCTCACTAGTGCTCGAAGCACCGCTGCAGCTCCAGGGTGAGTCGATGAACTTGGTATGTCTTACCTAGGGGCATTCGCCGACATATGACCAGCTACTTTCGGCCCAAAGAGATTGCACCATTCGGTGCATTGCAGGATGGAGGCATTAGCGCTAATAATCCAACAGATGCGGCTCTGTGGGAACTGAATTGTATCTGCCTCACTTGGTTCTCTCCGTTGGGACGGGTTGCCAAAAATCTGTGAGTCATGAATTAGGGCCGTATCGAGGCGTATGGTTGGACGGATTCATCCCGAGAATCCTGCGTGCCTTTTTGTCTTCGCCGTCCTTAGACGCTGAAAGCAGTTGGATGGCTCTCTGGAATCGTCTGGATGCCAATACCCGGGAGCGTTACCACCGCCTGTCTTGTGCATTCAATGGCGAGCTGCCCGATCTGGATGATAGCCCCCAGATTCCTCGACTGATTCACATGACCAAGAGCAGTACTGTCGACTATGACACGTTGAAGTGTAAATTGTGGGCGTCACGATTTTTTTTATAACTCAGCTCAAGACCACAACGCATTCGTGGTTACTACATCTGTCAAGGCAATATTCTTTGCCGGTCTCGAGACTGTCGTCCAGTCATCGAGGCGATCTGTCGCTGTTTTGATTCACCTAAAATTGTAGTGGAAAACAAACCGATAATTGACCTGCCCGACGGCACTTGCTT